CAAAAGCATTTTAAGGATCTCTTTAAATGCTTTTGGGAAGAAGAGAGGGGCCCTTTAAGGAAGGGGGCAGAGCCTGCAATAGTCCCACCATGGCTATGGGCCAGCAGCAGAGCCAATAGCAGCTCAATTGGGAGGTCTGAGGAGGTGCAGTCTGGGAAGCACAGAAGGCCAAAGCGACACCTCCCTGCCTGCCACAGTTGCAAACAGGAAACAGCTGCTCTGCACCTGGGAGGTAAAAAAATGCGTGATGCAAAGTCCTCCTGTTGTTCCCCAGTGAACATGAGGATTTTGCCATGTGTCGCTGGACCCATACATTTGGAGACCCCTTCTATGGGGCAGCGAAGTAGTTTAGGGGGCAATCTGCAGAAGAAGCAGGAAAGGAAAATATTAGGTGTATCAGCTCCAAATTGCCCCCCCCCAAAATCTGCTCTTTCTTAAACTCCCCCCGACAGCCATCAAGTCATTTGTTACATGCATTTGCAAGTTGCCATTTATTAAACTGTACAATAGGCCTGAACGGCTTTAACTCCCACGGCTTTTATGCAAGGTCCAAAGGGCACTGTGTTTCCATGTGATGTACTGAAGACGAATGTCTGACTTTTGTGGCTAAAAAGAAGGGGGGAAGCCAGTGTACAGTACAAGGAGCAGCAAAGAACACACCACTGACTGAAAATAAACGCACAAGCAAAATAGTCCTTAACCCTCCTTGACTGACCATTCTGGCTTAGTATATGCCAGCTTTTCAGATTGGGGTGAGTTTTCCTTGCAGCTCTGAACTTTTCAGATATTTATATCCTGTGTGCATTCTCACTTGTATATGTTTTGAATTTGCATTCAGTCCCATTACAGCCATGCTTGAATAAGAATTATTCAAAACGCGGAATCAGGCATCCGGATCACGCGTCGGCTTTTTATGGCTCAGAAAATTTGATGACCTACACTTCAATTTGGACTCTGATATTTGCTTCTATTTTGGAGTAGACACATGGAAAGACTGTAGACTGTGCTTCTATTATGCTTTATTATTGTACCTTGGCCAATTGATTCATATTATACTTGCTGTTGTGCTTATATGATTATTATATACTTGTTATTTTGCTTGTGCGTTTATTTTCAGTCAGTGGTGTGTTCTTTGCTGACTTCTGTGCCTAGCAGTGCTTTCCTCGGCAGAGTTACATCTTTCAAAATGGGTATAAACCCTGGTTGGGATTGCACTGGACTAGAACCAAAAACCCTAACTTTGAATTATTCTTGTTTATTTAGAGAATTTATATTCCATCTCTCTCTTTTTAAAAAGCACTCAAGGGGCTTAAAGTCTTCACGGTGAACTACAATAATCACAAAAACACAACAACACAATGTTAATTGAAACATGGCCACATCAACAAAAACAGATCAAAAGAATTCAGATAAAACGAGACACAAAGCTGAAGCGAGCAACACCACACATCACTCAATTATTTGATTTTTTAAAAAGATAATTCTGTCTTTTAAAGTTTAATGCAGTTTCGAAAGGGCACCATGGAAGCGGGAGTTTGTTTGTGCTGTGGGGTGAATGAATCAGGCCAAGCAGTGCAGAGCCAAAGAGGGAGATGAATGCTTGAGAGAGGATTTGAGAAAGAAAGTCAGTGAACGTGGGGCTTAGACTGTGAGTCTGGGGACTTTCTTAGGGGCAAACTGGCCTTTTAACTGGAGGAGGAGGAGGAGGAGATTGGATTTATCCCCTGACCTTCACTACCCAAAGTAGTCTTAGAGCATCTTACAGTCTCCTCTCCCTTCCCCTCCCCACAACAGGCACCCTGTGAGGTAGGTGGGGCTGAGAGAGCTCTCAAAAACTGCCCTTGAGAGAACAGCTCTGAAAGAACTTGTAACTGACACAAGGTCACACCAGCGGCTGCATCTGGAGGACTGGGGAATCAAACCTGGTTCTCCCAGATTCAAGTCTGCGCTCCTAACTACTACACCAATCTGGCTCTTTAACCTACCTAACAAAAAATATCCGGGTGGACTTCTGCTCCGGAGGGTCCCTGTTCGCCAGGAGCAAACTGAGCCAAATCCCAGCAGAGCCAAGGGATCCCTCTGGTACAGCCAGGGCCGCTTGGTCTTTTGGGGCCCAGCTTGCTCCTGGGGTGCTTTAATGCCCAAGTCTGTCCCAGGACATTGTGGGGTTTGTTTTTTACTACCTGACACATCCTGGGGGGGGAGGGGGGGCAAAAGAAGTCTGGAAAAGGACCCTCAAAAAAAACTGGGGACAGTCTTTCCTAGGGCTGCCAGCCTCCAGGTGGGACCAGGGGATCCCCTGGAATCACAGCTCTTCTCCAGACGACAGAGGTCAGCTCCCCTGGAGAGAATGGCTGCTGTGGAGGGTGGAGTCTGTGGCACTGAGGCCCCAATGAGGCCCCCCTGCCCTCCCCAGGCTCCACCCCCCAAATCTCCAGGCATTTCCCAATTGGGAGCTTGCAACCAAGGCTCCCTCTAAGCTGCAGAGTCTTATGAGCAAAAATTCTACTTTGTGAGCTACTGGCATTAAAGTTGTGAGCGAGTGATTTGGCTGCTGCATGAATTAGTTTGCCCCGGAGCCCTCCTTCCTGAGCTAAGAAAAAAATGTGTGAGCCGGAGGCTAAAAAAACCTGTGAGCTAGCTCACACTAACTCAGCTTAGAAGGAACACTGCTTGCAACCCTAATTGCCCCACCCCTTGTCAGGGGCCAGAGGGGACCCGGCGACCCTCACTCCGGATCCATCATCATCCTGAAACCTCTCGCCTTGTGTCACGTTTCTCTTGCTACCAACCATCCCCTCCCCCACATGCACACCCTTGATTCTCTCACATTGAATCCATAAATCAGCCTTCATCCCCCCTGGATAAATGTCAAGGGAGCAAAGGAAACAAAAGGTCAACGTTCATGAGAAGCTGAGAGATCTGTGGCCAGTTATGACCGGCAGTGTTTTAAAGAGTGATCCGGATCAGGGCCATGTGGGGAGGGGAGGGGAAAGGGGGTCCAAACCTTCCGCCCCAAATGCTTTTGCTTATCAAAATTATCCTCTCCACCCTGCTGTTACCCCGGAGAGGGGGGGGGGGAGAGATGGGCATCCAGCTTCTGATTGTCTTTCCCCCCCAATATCAGTAGAGGAAAGGTCACTTTCAAGAGGCAAAATCTTGCAAGGTCGACTGATTAACCTCCCCCTCGGCTCCCTGTGTGGTCCGGATAAAAATGTGGGCTGAGCTGCAATTGGCAAAAAAAAAAAAGCCAAGGAGATCTATTTAAAAGAGAAGGATCCGAACAATGTAGGAAAGGGTGTCACGTGCAAACACTTACGCCAAAGCAAAGGCCATCAGAGCTCCAACCACCACAATGAAATCCAGGATGTTCCACAGGTCCCGGAAGTACGATCCGTCTTGCAGTATTAATCCTTGGTCTATCATCTGCGGAGAAGGTGGAGATAAGTCACGGGACCCTAAGCAATGGGACAGACTTGACATCCCGTAGCCAAAGCCCACGTTCCCGGGTGTGGGTCCTCCACAGTTTAGCCCAGCAGACGATCAGCAAGCATGCGCAAGGCACAAGGTGGCAAAAAGCACTAAATGATTATTTTCCTCCGAGGACGACCATTTCCGGTGCATCTCTGCTATATCTGCTGTGATCACTGATGAGGTTATTCAATAAATCCCAATGAAAAGATGCAATGGGATTACTTGCCCTCACACACAAGACTAAGCAGAATCAACCCAGAAGCTGCTGACAGCACAACCTGCTTGATCCAATCAGTTAGATCTCCCTTAACAAAGCAGTTGCCCGGAGGGACTTGGCACAGTCTTTCGGCTTGTGGTTTCGTACAGTCTGTTACACCAGTGGTCTTCATGAGTCCCACTGCTGGGTCACAAGCCCCTGCAGAGACCCACCATTTTTTTGCTGCACTTTTGATACTAAGATGCATGTGCAGAGAACAAGGATACCGCGCCCTCTTTACATGCTTGCTAAGAGGAGGAGCAGAGGGAAGGGGGCATGGTGTCGCTTGATCTCATCAGATCCTGGAATCTAAGCATGGCCAGTACTTGGATGGGAGACCACCAAGGAAGGCTCTACAGAGGAAGGCCATGGCCAACCATCTCTGCTGCTCACTTGCCTTGGAAGCCCCATGCTGGGGTCGCCATAAGTTGGTTGCAGCTTGACAGCCCATATGTACATAAGAGAAGGAGCAGGTCAATGAAGGGAAGGTAACTCAACGGAGGAGGAGAGGATTCCATTTTGGTTATTATGCCCCTTATAACAGGGGAATAATCCTCATTGCATGGCAGAATTGTCATATCTGAGCTCATTGCTTCAAATAAATGAAAAACAGCAGAGTTGTATAACCAAACAGTGAAAGGCAAAAAAAAAATCGTCATCTGCAGAAAAAGATTTGCAGCATTGCAAGTACATGTAGAGGGATAGGATTGTGGGTCTTTGCCACTTTTTTGTTTATAAAAAAGGCTTGATGACAACTCTCACTCTTAAACAACAGTACGGGAGTATGCCGTGCTTCAAAAAGAATTAAAACAAGCAAAATTTAAGAGTCACAAATTAATGTGGTCACGGGGGGGGGGGGGGGGGAGGCAGATCTGTGTCATTCATCAGTAATGAGTCACTGGCGTTTCCAGAAATCACTGTTTTCCCCTTTAGCAGTCAGGTTAAATGCTCTCATTTCATCCACTGGTGATGGTTTTCCACCACCACCCTGAGCTTTTTGGAGGAAGTCTGGGACAAAAATGCACTAAACAAACAATCCCCATCCAGGTTCTTCAGCTAAAGTTTTTAGAGATGCCAATCAGGGCTCTTTTTGTAGAAAAAGCCCAGCAGGAACTCATTAGCATAACAGGCCACACCCAACAGCAGGAACTCATTAGCATATTGGGCCACACCCCTGACAGCACAGCTCATTAGCACATTAGGCCGCACCCCCATGTTACCAGAAGTGTGGTCATCCAGCCACACCCACCTTTTGCTTGTTATTCTGTTTACCTTGTTTGTGGTCAAAACACAGGGCCTTTTTTTGTTGCAGGAACTCCTTTGCATGTCAGGCCACACACCCCTAATGTAGCCAATCCTAATGAGTTTCTACTGTTGGGTGTGGCCTATTATGCTAATGAGTTCCTGCTGGGCGTGGCCAACTCGGGAGCCA